AGTGGTCCTCATAGAGTATTCCTGAATTAGAACTTGAGGATTTTCAGACATAAGCTTCAGGCAACACCATGCTTATAGATTAATCTCTGGTTTAGCTCCCTTCCAGGCTCCTACTGCAGGTGCTGTTCTAGTGGATGGTTAAAAAGGACATGGTCTGCAAAGTGCTGAATATAGGGTGCCTCTGTTATCAGCAGTGTCATACTGATTATACTAGTTAAGAACTTTTGGCATCTTGGCTTTGAATTGAATTGTAATGGGAAATGGAAAAAGAGAAAGGGCTTGAGAAGATTAAAGTCAGGATTTATTGCAAGTGAGTAATAGCAGAGGGCAGTTGGTTCAGAGAAAAGCGTACTCCCACTTTGCCCTGTTCCACCTCCATCTCTAATCAGACTCTGGAAGGTAATTGTGAAAACAGGCCTGCGTGACCTTGGCACTGGGCCACTGCTTATTTAGCTTGGGCCACTGTTAGCTTAAGTAAACAGCCCTGAGTTTGAATTGTAGCTGAAATCAATAGAGAAAAATTCAGAATTACCAAATTTATCAGCATCCGACACTGATTGCCAGACCAGCGTTGTCGCAACACAAGCCTGGGCGTTTTTTTTTAATTTGATGAGTCCTGGGAGAAAGAGAAGAGCTGAAGGGACACAGGCTTCTTTTATGTTGACATGTTTACACTTATACCTTTAATGGTGTTTGGTGGCAGTACTCTGAAAATTTTAGGGGGTTTTCCCTCAGAGTGAGTTAGTGTTGTGGTTGAAGTGTGTGGAAGCCAAGGAAATTGAGACAAGCAGGTAGAAGGTTCTCAGTGCATGGATGGCACTGAGACTAGATGGTGGTGGAGGTCTAGAACATCCGCAGGTCTTGTGAGTGGTCAGCTTCAGCCCGGTGCTAGGTCCTAGTGTCTGGGAGGACGCTTATCATCTTCTCTCCTGCCCCCCAGTACCATGCAGAGACCATCAAGAACGTGCGTGCAGCAACAGAAAGCTTTGCTTCTGATCCCATTCTCTACCGGCCAGTGGCTGTGGCCCTGGATACTAAAGGACCCGAGATCCGAACTGGGCTCATCAAGGGCGTGAGTATCCTGGGGAGAAGTGAGAGGGAAGGTGCAGGAGGCAGGGGCCCCAGAGATGTCCTCAGCAATCTCTGCCCTGCAGAAGCCATGTTCCTCAGAGTTTAGGTCTGTAAATGAGAGTTTTATTCATCACACACACACAAAAAATGTTGTTTTAATCTATTTAAGAAACTACCAAAAGGGAAACTTTTTTAAAACTACTTTCAAATTTCTCTACCTTTATGGAGCAATTTGGCTCTTCCCCTGTCATTAAATAGCATAGCTAAAACATAGTAGGTTTTTCTTGGGTTATTTCCTTGAAATATACTGAATTAGACAATCTGATCATTTATTCCCAAAGGAAAAGGATTTATTGTTACTTCTAACTGAGATTTGAGCATTATTCCCCTGGAGGAAAGCATTTCTTTTCCTGCCAGGAGGGCCTGGCTTCTGCAGTTAGGACCCATGGCTTACTCTCTTTGTAGAGTGGCACCGCGGAGGTGGAACTGAAGAAAGGAGCCACTCTCAAGATCACTCTGGATAATGCCTACATGGAAAAGTGTGATGAGAACACTCTGTGGCTGGACTACAAGAACATTTGCAAGGTGGTAGAAGTGGGCAGCAAGATCTATGTGGACGATGGGCTTATTTCTCTGCAGGTGAAGGAGAAAGGTATGTCTAAAACCGGCTCTCATCTCTAAATTTCCTAGACATGAGGAAGAGAGGAAGCTTGTTTGAATGGCAGCAAGATTACATCTGTGTTCCTTTTGTGACTCCTTATCCTCTAAAACAGACTTCAGTCCTGCTTAATCATGCTCTTGGGGGGCATATGATAAGATTTTTTTTTATTCATCCTCACTACTTTGGCCTCTCTGTTTTCTTCCTTTGTCTCTTAGTATGATCTGTACTGGACTCTAGCATGTCTGGGAATGATAGCTCATATTTAAGTGCCAGGCACTATTCTAAGCATCTTATATGATAATTTGTTTAAGTTTAAAAACAACCTTATGAGTAGGTATTATCCCTGTTTAACAGGGGAGGAAACTGAGGTATGGAAAAGTTAATTGACTTGCCCAAGGTTACACAGTTAGTGAAATTGGCATTTGAACTCCGGCAGCATGTCTGCAGCACCCATGATGTGCTGCATCCCCAGTCAGTATAGTGGGGAGAGAGGCAGGTGGCTTCCCGCCTCGCCCCTCTTCCTTTCCTGTTGAGGACATGTGCCTTCTTTGTGCTTTGCCTCCCCACCTACTCCATTTCGCATAGGTGCCAACTTCCTGGTGACGGAGGTGGAGAATGGTGGCTCCTTGGGCAGCAAGAAGGGCGTGAACCTCCCTGGGGCTGCTGTGGACCTGCCTGCTGTGTCAGAAAAGGACATCCAGGATCTGAAGTTTGGGGTGGAGCAGGATGTAGATATGGTGTTCGCGTCTTTCATCCGCAAGGCATCAGATGTCCACGAAGTCAGGAAGGTCCTGGGAGAAAAAGGAAAGAACATCAAGATAATCAGCAAAATCGAGAATCACGAGGGAGTGCGGCGGTAAGTGCCCCCTGTACCCTGCTTCCTTCAGCCCCTGCCCAGCTCTCTGAAGAGCCACATGTATCCTATTGAGTACCTGGCTGCCTGTGCATCAGAATGCAGACTCCTGAGCCTGTTCCAGACCCACCGAACCAGAATATCCTAAGGGAGGGGAGAAGTAGCAAGTAGCATTTAAAAAGCAGCTTCCTGCCTTGTCCTTTCCTTTCCTGTTGTGGAAGGCATTGCTATTTAAAAAGAAGCATCTCATGTGTTTGAGGTGCCAGCATCTTGACATTGTTCCAGACGCTCAGAGGCCAACCTTGGAGAGGAACAGGGTCACTGCTCTCAGGGTCAGGAGCCACTGCTGGGCTCCTAATCAGAGCACTACCTGTGTTTGCTGGTAGCACTGCCACCGAGAGGAAAGGCAGCCAGCTTTTTATTTTTTATTTTACACCTACAGCACCTGGTCTTCCTACGTGGTCTCCCATCCAAGTACTAACCAGGCCCGACCCTGCTTAGTTTCTGAGATCAGAAGAGATCAGGCACATTCAGGGTGGCATGGCCGTGGACTAGCCAGCTTTTTAAAAAGGGCTCTTTTTGGCCTTTCACTAGGGAGCCATGTGCAAACTCGGGGCCTGGTGTTAACGCTGAGGGTTATGGCCTCCTAGTCTTCACTTAGAAAGCAGCTGGCTTGATGAGCAGGCTAGCTCTGGCATGGTATCAGCTTCCCAGAGGAGAGCATGCGATTCTCCTCCAGGCTTAGATCGTCCCAGCTTAGCTTTACCACCTCCCCAGTGCTCACTCATTAGAGCCAAATGACGTGGCCAACTCGGTGACATCTGTTCCTCATTGGCTCCCTACTAGAAAACAACTCAGCGCAGCTAAAACCCTAGACCTACTTGGGACGATTGGCATTGCTTTAGGAGGGAAGGAAGAGCAGCCCCACTTACTGTTGTGACCTTGGCTTTTTGTGTCAGGTAGTTTGGGGTGGTCCTGATAAGCCGTCCTGATAAGCCCAGCTGTCCTGATAAGCCCAGCCGAGGCTCAGGCTCAGGCTGACCTTGGCCTCAGGCCAGGCAGAGCCATGTGTCCTTTTGCCTTCTGCAGTTGGAGAGGGCTGCCTCAAGAAGCAGCCCTCAAGTGTCCTTGGCTGGAAGAGGCCGTGGACCTTTGTTTTGGGAGCTGTCAGCAAGCCGTAGGTTCCCTTTTTGCTCTGGAAGTGTTGAGTAGAGATGGCAAAGACCTCGGGAAGGCTCTCATGAAATGCAGATGGAGAAGAAATAGGTGTGTGGGGCTTGGGAGGAGACCTCATCCCCTCCCTTGCTCCCCAATGAAATATCCATACTAGTGCTGAAGAAACCTCGCAGGCTGTACTGTTGGGCCACTTTGGGGAACTAAGATAGCTGGAACACCCCACCACCTCCATGCACCCATGGTGACATCATGGGTGGCTATCTTGCTAAGTCGGAGAATCCCAGGAAAAGTTCCTTTGCGTCACTGTACTAGTGGCCCCTGTTCCATATAACCTCTCTCTTTCCACCTCTCCTGTCAGGTTTGATGAGATCCTGGAAGCCAGTGATGGGATCATGGTGGCTCGTGGTGATCTGGGCATTGAAATTCCTGCAGAGAAGGTCTTCCTTGCTCAAAAGATGATGATCGGGCGGTGCAACCGAGCTGGGAAGCCTGTCATCTGTGCCACGCAGGCATGTGCATGTACTCACAGAGGAAACTTTTGGAGGCTACGTAGTCTCTTCCCATGGCCCTTTCCCCATGTCACAAATACATACATATAGTCCCTTCTCCCCATGCAGCTACACGAAGCCATACTCTCTGCACATACACACTGCCCAGGGAGTCAGCTTGCAGTCATTCATCTCTGAAGATAGCCCAGGCCATGTCTCACTAATGCTCTGTCTCCTCCCAGATGCTGGAGAGCATGATCAAGAAGCCCCGTCCCACCCGGGCTGAGGGCAGTGATGTGGCCAATGCAGTTTTAGATGGAGCCGACTGCATCATGCTGTCTGGAGAAACAGCCAAAGGGGACTACCCCCTGGAGGCTGTGCGCATGCAGCACCTGGTGAGTTTTTAGGGCTTGTCTGTCCTCCCAGCTCAGGCTCAGGCTCAGGCTCGGGTGGAGGCAAGCTCTGGTATACCGCCACACCTTTTAGTCTTCTGCACCTACATCTTTTATTATTCTCCAAGTTACAAGAGTGAGGAAGTGTTTGCGGGTGGGCGGGGTGGGAGGGGGGTCTTTTGTTTTTTTCCTGTTCTGCCTTCTTCACCCATACTCCCTTTTCTATTTCCTTCTGTTCTGGAGGCGTTCTCCGTCAGATGTAGCCCAGTTCATTACTGGCTCTTTTCCTTGGCTCAGGTACTGGGATACTTGTACCTCTTCCTCTGGACAGTCCAGAGGACCAGAGTACCTGTCCTACTCTGGAAAAAGCCAAGGGCTCCTGTTTCCAGCCATCATGATTGTTTGGCTTCCATTTTGATTCCCCACCTGTCCCACAGGCAGGTGCCTCCCCAACAAAGGTCTCTGGGCCCGCACTGGAGGCTGTTGCCTGCACTGAGTTGACCAATCTTACCTTGCATGGTGTCTGCAGTGGGACCTGTTGTGCCGAGCTGATGCAGTCACTCAGATGAAGAAGTAGGGTATAAGTGACAGGTGACAGGTCCATAAATCGAAGACAGGTGGGAGGACGGCTTGTCCTGACTGGGCCCTAGTTTGAGAGCATCTGGAGAGGAGTCCTGGAGGTGAAGCTTCTTTCTCCTCCAGGGAGCTAACTTTTCAAGGCTCTTCTGCTGGGCTATGTCTCTTGAGGCTGGGTTCCTCTGCCCTACTTGCTCCTGCTCTAGAGCTTATTAAAGAGTTAACACAAGGATCAGCTGTCAGAGTTACTTATACCTGGGAAAATGCATGCTACAAATTAACTTCTCACAATAGTCCTAGGTCAGCAGTTGATGTATATGTAGCTCAGTGAACTTGTCTCTTATCCTGAAAGTTTTTTTTAACTTTTCTATTCCCTTTCAGTCAACAAAGGACCCCATGCCCTTTGTGTGACACCCTCTCCTCTGCATTTCCCCAAATTTAAAACAACCCCTAAAAACGAACCACTGGACTAGAATCTTCCCTTTTCACTTTCTACGTGTCCAATTATTAAGCTTAAATGGCCTCTAGAGAAGACTTGTTATTTATAATTTAATAGTTTCTTAGTGGTGAACCAAGACATCTTGACTAAAGATGTCTTCTGGGGTGTCCTCAGCATCCTTCATGGATTTCCCCACGATGAAATTGATAGGAACCAATCCTGTTCTGGAATGACTGTGTACCCTGGCCCTGGCAGATAATGCCACCCTGTTTGTGAGACAAACTTGCTTGCTATTCCAGTGCTCAAGTACCTTGAGCTCATTCTCATGACTTCTCTGGTGGTGGGAAAGTGCTTTCTCTCTCCCAGGAGACAGTGGACCTTGGACCAGTCACCTCTAGAGTGGCTGCAGTATATTTATGGGTCCCTCCACACAGCCCCTCTTTCTAATTGCCTTAGGTGTGTGGCCTCAAAGGTGGGACAGTGACCCTGATCTGATTTACTGAACCAGGCAACCATGAAGACTGTAGGGACTTTAGTATGACTTTGGGCTAATCACTTAGCTTTTCAAAGCCTTATCTGTAAAATAAATTAGATGGGATATGTTTAATTATAGACATTAACATTAAATGTTCACTGCTGTTACTAAATATTTAAAAAGTTCCCATGTAGATTGATGTAATCTTCATAACCTCCTTGAGATAGATGTCACTCCAATTTATAGATGAGGGTTACTTGATAATAGAGCTTGAGTTTGAACCCAGATCTGCTGGCTTTAAAGCCAGTGTTCTGTCCTGCAACATAGCACTTTGTCTGTCTAGTGGGAGATCGGCTCAGGTCTTCTGTGGGGCCTGTACTGGGGTCAGGGACTTCAGGCTCCGGGCTCTCACTTCCATGTTCGTTTTTCCATACCCTAGTCTTTCCTGTAACAGATGGACCTTAGAGCTACAGGGCTTAGATTGCATGGCTCTGCTCTGGGCCAGGTTGTGCCGGCCTCTCCTGTCCATGTCCCTGGTTAACACTGGCTGACAGCTTCTCCTTTTAACTGTTTATTGCTTTCTCCTGTATCTAACTGATGCAGTTAATGATCTGTACCTAAGGGCTAGGCAGTACCAGGTATGGTTCAGTCCCTGTTCCTGTCCCCTGTCCTTTGGCTGCGTGTATTCCATTCTTGCAGAAAAAAAAATCTTTAACCACGTAAATCCTGCCACACATCTGCTTATACTGTCAAATTAATGATATTACTGATTCTTCCCTTGCCCATCATTCTCTAAGATGCTGGTAATTGCATTATAATCCTCTAAAGCTTAGATTTTCTTTCTAATTCTCTGAGCAGGTGGCCTGTAAATAACTTGGTGGCTTTCTCATGCCTTTTAATCATTAGGTTTTAATCAGATGTTTTGTTAAACTGACCTGCATGCTTCCACAGGCATCTGTCTCCACATGGCTCTTCAGTATACCCTCACAGGTTCACCAGTTTTCAACTCTCCTGTTCAGAACACAGTTAAGCCGCATGGGTTTGGCTTTGTCTGACCCCAACTTTCCAATGCTGCTCAGTGCATTTCATGGCAGGCCATAGGAAAGGCTTATAGCAGCCCTATGCCTGAAGCCAAGCTAAGTGCTCCATGTGTGTGTGGAAGTGAGGCAGGAAGCCCTGGAGAACCAGACAGCCATGTGAAGAAGGAGAGCCTGTTCCTTTCCGTAAGCTGTGTCATGAGGCAGCGTGGCCAAGCCCGCCAGGGAGTGGCGTGAGCCCAGCCTGGGCATGTTTCCATGCTAAGGTGCTAGAGCCTGCTGCCATGTTGGCTCCCTCCACCCCCACCCCCAATCAAAAAAATCCTCCCAGAGTGGAAGAACCAATTTCCCCTCTGTTGGAAGGGAAGCAAGCAACAGCAGTTGATGCTGGAAATTCTGCACACATCCCCAAGCAGGCCTGCATCACGCTGCCTCTGCATCTGCCTGAAGGACAGATTTAGCCAATTAACCTAAGGTTACCTTCTTCTCTGATTAATTCCCCATTCTATCTTTCTATGTTGTTGTTTCTTGTTTTTTTCCCTCCTTTTTCCTTCTTCCTTGCCTTCCCTCTCCCCTAAACCTTACAGATAGCTCGTGAGGCTGAGGCAGCCATGTTCCATCGCAAGCTGTTTGAAGAACTTGTGCGAGGCTCAAGTCACTCCACAGACCTCATGGAAGCCATGGCCATGGGCAGCGTGGAAGCTTCTTATAAGTGTTTAGCTGCAGCTTTGATAGTTCTGACGGAGTCTGGCAGGTAGGGCCCTAAGGGCAGGTAACTCTGTAGGATAACCAGCCTCTTGCTCCAGCTGCTCTAGAAGACATTCAGAACCCAGCCTTGCATTTGGGGCCTGGGCCCAGAGCCTCTTTTCTCATCTTCAGGAAGCCAGCCAGGGAGCTCAGGGCAGGACAGGACCAAAGGGTCCTTCAGATTGGTAGGCACAGATAGTGTCACAGGCACCTGGTGAAGGACTGGTTCCTGAGTCTTGATTTTGCTCAGCTCAGAACCTCCATTGATTAGGCTCCTCTTGGCCTTTGCACTCAGGGACACATTTCTCACCAGCTGTCTGTCCTACTACCCCTCCTCTCCTATTGTGACACAGCTCTGACAAAGCACTGTCCCCCTGTTGTCCCTCTGGACGGATGTTGCTCCCCTAGATTGCCCGTGAGGCAGAGGCCGCCATCTACCACTTGCAATTATTTGAGGAACTCCGCCGCCTGGCGCCCATTACCAGCGACCCCACAGAAGCTACCGCCGTGGGTGCCGTGGAGGCCTCCTTCAAGTGCTGCAGTGGGGCCATAATCGTCCTCACCAAGTCTGGCAGGTAGGAGGTGGCAGCAGCTCCCTGGGGATGCCCTGCTCGGTGGCGCCTTTCCTTGGGGGTCCTGGGAGCAGTGCACTGAACAGTGCTAGGATGGCACTAAGCCAAGGTAAGACCTCCTGCCTGCCACCTGGACCCTTCAGGGAAGGAGCTCCTTCAGCCCCCAGGCCAGGATCCAGGAATGAGCAGCACCCCTTTCCTGGGCCCGAAGGACTCCGGGCAGCACTTATAAGGCATGGGGGACCATTTGGATCCAAAACAAGTTTACACCCTCAAGATGAACTAGATGACGACAGACTGACTCCAAATGATTACTTGGCATTTAAAGGCTGGTCCTCTAAAATAGTGAAAGACTACCAGCTTTGCTTATTCCAGTTACTGTGTGCTCTTTAAAAATTTAGTTGGAAAATTAGTGCTGTTCACTGACATGCTCTTTGGTTGGGGCATGTGCCCCTGTCTGTCTGAGCCCTGAAAATGAGTGGATTGTGGACCAGGAAGCTCATCATGTTGCCTTGCTGGCACTCTGGCGCCATGCAGCCAAGTCGAGGCTTGTGTTTGGCCTTGGACATGGAATCCTTTCCCGGTCCTGGACTTTGAGTTATCATCCTTCACTCCCACAGCCTGGGCATGTGTTCCTCATCCCTTGCCCACAGGGCAGCTAGGGTTTCCTGGAGGAGAGGCAGACAAGCAGTCCCATGCACCAAGGAGCAGCAGGTGCAGCTGCATAGAGATAAGATCTGAGCACATTTCCTCAGGAGACAGCTCAGGATAAACAGCTGTAACCATTAGGGTTGACCTTTATGAAAAGGCCCAACCTTTGCTATCTGGCTATTTTTAGCTCCACTCTTCTGGGGTTTCACTCTCGGCTGGTCCTGACTTCAGCAACTGCTTCCCTCTGAAAGTCTTGTATGGAAGCCCAGGCCTTAAGCAGGGCATTCTCTTATGTGACATGGCTTGTTTCCTTGGCACCTATTGAGTGTCCTCATAGCTTACATTCTGGGGCAGTCCCTCCTGTACACTCTTCCCCAGCTCCTGAGACACATCTGCAACTACAAGTATACTGTGTCAGTGTTCAAGGAAGCGCCTGATATTGGGGCTTCAAAAGAGTCCCTTATCTTCCAGAGGGGCCTTCACAGGCAGAGCTTCCCACACTAGCACTTCCATCTGGTCTTGCCTCCTGGGTAGCACCCAGATTTCTAAGCCTCATTAGATTCTCAGATATGACTTGGTCTCTAGAGCTCAGTTGCTGGGCCTCTTTCAGGGACCTGGGGGCCCCAGTGCTGGGGAGAGGGCCCGGCAGCTGGGAAGCCTTGGGTTATAGATTCCCAAGGGGGTTGGTAGACTATTCCTGTTCTTTGCAGATGTCGAGAGTCAAGTGCTGTTCACATGCTGCTTGGCTTGTAGCTGTTGCTGGCAGCAGGGAGGAGTGGGTGCTGGTGAGGTTGGACCAGGGCTGTGTTGCTGTGCCAGAATGGAAAATTTCAGAGGGGATTCTGCCAGTTAAGGGCCATGTGGGGAAAGTGCGTGAGGCTGACCATGCTGAGTTAGTAGGATCCTGGGGCCCTGGCCTGTGGGGAGGGGTGGAGGGCAATGAGGTCACATAGCTACGAAGGAAAGTTATGTGCTGTGGAGGATATGAAAAGAGGGACTGCCCTAGCTGTAGGAGCAGCTCCCCACTCCCACAGTGGGGGGCCAGGGAGCGGATATTGAAATGGTCAGAGCCTCAGGCATGCATAATAAGTTGGATTAGAGGGTGAGCTGTTGCTGAAGGCTCTGGGAGGCTCCTGGGACACTGTTTAATGGTCTCTTCTGCCTGTCCCCCATCCTATCTCAGGTCTGCTCACCAGGTGGCCAGATACCGCCCCCGTGCCCCCATCATTGCTGTGACCCGGAATCACCAGACAGCTCGCCAGGCCCACCTGTACCGTGGCATTTTCCCTGTGGTGTGTAAGGACCCAGTGCAGGAGGCCTGGGCGGAGGACGTGGACCTCCGGGTCAATTTGGCCATGAATGTTGGTACGTGCCTGGGAGCATGGGGTAGAGCCTGGAGGGTTGGAGGCGGGTGGTTGAGCACTGGGCTTTCAGGGATCTTATGAAAAGGGGAACATCTACGCCTTAGGGTACAAGAGCCCTGGCTGCCCCCACTGGGACTCCTGCATCCCCTTCCATCAAGTCTTGAGCCGAGCTCAGGAGGGAAGGAGGGACCTTTGAGTTGTGGGGATGAGCAGCCCAGTTCTCGCCACACTCATCCAGTCTAGGGCCCAAAGCAAAGGATCCTAGATAATCAGGGTCGTCCATTCTTTGGCATCTGCTCATTACCAAGGTTTTTATGAAATTGGCCAAAGTCCTGCACTGTGGGGTGGCACACACACAGATTATGTACTGATGCGGCCTTTGTCCCTATATATGTATAGGCTGCCATAGGATGAGAGGAAGCAGCTAGCTCTGACCTTGGGCAAGGCTCTCTACCCTCTAGACTATAAAATGAATGATGTCCAAAGGTCCCTAACAGCTCTGCCATATTAGTGTTAAGGAAATGAGCCTCCCTCATCCCCTTCATTTGGGCTGTGAGGCTGGCGCCACCTTGTGATATAAAGAAGTAATGATCAGCCAGCTCTGCTTATTGTCTGGCTATGGGACAATGTCCCAAGTTCATACCAGCCTGACTTGACATTTACGCACCCACATCTTCTCTTCCTCCAGGAAAGGCTCGAGGCTTCTTCAAGAAGGGAGATGTGGTCATCGTGCTGACTGGCTGGCGCCCTGGTTCCGGCTTCACTAATACCATGCGTGTAGTACCTGTGCCATGATGGGCTTCAGAGCACCTCCTCCAGCCCCTGTCCCGTCCCTTTCCCCAAAACCATCCTTTAGACCAGCAATGCTTATAGTGCTCACTTGTGGCTGTAGTGCGTCACTGGTGGGTTGGGACACCAGAGAAGATTAATGCTTCTATGAAACATGGCTGTTTTTAAGACCCTGCTCAGGTGAGGTACTCCAGAGCCAGGCTATGGCTTCACCTAAGCAAGAGAGAAGCAGGGGTGCAGGACTGGAGGCCCCAGAGCTTAACACAGAGGGCAGCAGCTCCTGCTTTTCCTTTGCACAGTCCATTCAGTTCCTGTAGAAACGGGTACTCAGAACCCTCAAGCCTGGCCTGGAGTCAGTAGACAGCCAGCAAGAGAGGAGCCTTTGGGTGTGAGGCAGTGGTTCCAGTTTAGTAGAGTCTGGCCCTGGCCTTTACTTTCTTCTCCAACCCCCTCAGCCTCCTTCACTCCCACCTTGTGCACTGTGCACTTCTGTTCCTACACTCCACTCAGCTATTGCTGCAGACAAACACTTCACCCCTCCAACTTCATTTTCCCTACTACTGCAGCCACCTCCAGGCCTGTTGCTATAGAGCCTACCTGTATGTCAATAAATAGCAGTTGAAGCATCTGTTGCCTCTCTTTTTCTGATGGGGGAGAAGGGAGTATGAGCCCTGCTCTTTGAGTAGGGTGAAAATGGCAAAGAGCTGGGGGGCTCCTGCGTAGCAGCTCAGGCCACTTGCTATCCTGTCCATCTCCAGGATGCAGAGGTGTCGGGAAAGCAGTAGTTGACCATGGAGACTGGTTATCTCCTTCATTACTCTGGTGTGGCGTGGTGGCTTTATCTGTAAAAGCTCCAGCCGCTGGGGAAGTTTTAATGACACATTTGAACAAAAGATGAGAGGGCAATGACGGGAGGGGGGCCCCTCCCTCCTGCTCTGGTAGGTAAACCGGGAGTGAAGTGGCCTTTGCCCTGCCCTTCCCTCAGGTCTTCATGCAGTAATGGCTCCTAAGGTTGCTGTGGGATGAGATCCTGGTTCCTGAGACCAGTTCCTTCCCCCACTTCCCAGACAATTGTAGACTTGGGCTTTGTGCCCCTTCTATGTGCTGGTGCCCTCCTCTGTGATAATAGCTGGGTCAAGGAGGTGGGAGGGGAATGGAAATGGAATCAAATCTGGCTTGCAACTTCACCCTCTTCTGATAACTCCCACGGACCAAGCCCTACCTGGTGAGGATCAGTAAGGGGGCCCCTAGGGTTGGAAAGTTGGGATGACTCGAGTTTGGTCCCACTCTCAAGGCCTAGTTCTTTGTCACACCTCCACCAATCTCAGCCCTTCCGCTTGTGTTTCCCCACTCAAGTCCCTGGCCATTTTCAGTCCAGACTCAAAAGCATTTTACTTAGGAAACAACTTTCCAACTCTGGAAAAAGGGCACCACAGCTGCCCGACTTTCACGTTTAACATCCCCTCTGGTGTTCCCCACTCATGTCCCTACTACTGATTGGTGTGGAGGGAAATCGAAAGCACCCCCGGGGTTCAGTGTTGAGAGGGTTTGGAGGGCAGGAGTCGATTGCTGCAGAGCACCAAGCTCCAAGACTAGAAAGGCTGACGAAGAACGCGGAGGGGCTGGGACCTTGCTGTATCAGGAGTTACGGCCCCGACCCTGGCCTTGGTCCAGACTTTCCAGTCTGGAAGAAGGAGCGGTGGGATCCGCACTTCGCATGGGCCCCACCTGTGCCTGGAGAGGGGCAGGGCCGGCCAATAGACAGGGCCCGTCCCACACGGGCAGCCAATAGGCGGGAGGAGGCGGACCCTCAGGGCGGGTGGGGGCGGGCCGGCACTAAGCCCCGCCCCTGGGTCCCCGGCGCTAGCTGAACGCGTAGCGATGACCGCTCTGAGCAGGGGCAAGGCCGCGGAGGCGAGCAGGTAAGGGTCTGCGGCCCGCAGGCGGGACTCCGGAACCCCCAGGCTGGGGCGAGGGGCGGGGCGGGGCGGGGCCTGCTGAGCCCGGGCGCCTACTGCCTGGGATGCAGGCACTTCCCCGCCGCCGGAATGCGGGCTGGGCTCCAGAGCTGCGCCGCGCCAGCTGGGGGCGCCTCGGGGGTTGTGGGGTGTTCACCGCCGGGCACGTTATCCCGGCTGTCTGCGCTCCGCAAGAGGTGTCCGGACCTTGGGATGAGGGACATCCGGCGGCATAAGAGCGACGCAGGGTACCCTCCTTGGGACGCCTCCAGTGGTCCATCCCCCATCCCTCTCCACTGTCGCTGTTCATTCATTCACGTGTTCATTCATTCATTCTTCAGCCACATCGCCACCAGTCCTGACTGTCCCCCCGCCCACAAAGGCTGGCGCTTCCTTACTGACCCCCGGGGGTGGGGGTGGGGGCGGTGTACAGTATCAGCCTCTCCTTCCCGCCGGGTCTGCAATTGTAGCGGCCCGAGGCGGCCCCGGGGACAGAGTGGAGCTGTCCCGGCACGACTCGGCCGCACCCGTTCATCAGGCCCGTCCCGGTTGGGCGGGCTGGGGCCGGTCTCTCAGCCTCAAGATCTGATCCAAAGTCGCCCTGGGAGGATAGAAAGTTCTTGCAGCTGGGGAAGGGGCAAAGAGGCAGGGCAGGAGGGAGGTGGTGTGTCAGGTGGCATCAAGAATTGTGGCCTCTGTCCTTTTAGGTCTTGGGGCCCTGGGGAGTGGAATTATTTGGGGAAGACAGAGCCAGTGGATAAGGCCCTAAGTTCCTGCCCTTGCCCAGGTCCCTGACCCCACAGTCTGAGCTCTGGAGGGAGGCCTGGCACCCTTGGCCAGCTAGTCCTGGGGCACATGGGGTAAATATGTGAATGCTGTGCCCACTCCTCACAGGTATGTGGAACTGGCAGAATGCTTTGGGCCTCTCTCTGCCCAGTGGGGTCTTACCCAGCGGTCATTTGTTCTTTGCTTTTCCCCCTACTCCCCCACCCCCCACCCCTGCATGACTGTTTAAGGGTGCCATCCTTGCAGGCATGGGGCTCCTAGGGAATGAGAGAGAGTGCCTTGGCCATTTGTGATGTATTTGTGCACCTACAACTGGCTTTGAGGTCCAGCTCCTTTGAGAGCAAAGACTTCCAAGGTTACAGGGAGAGATGGGTAGAGGGTGTCCCTCACATCCTGCAGTGAGAGGGGACTCCACATTCCTCTGATCATGCTTGCTGGAATCCAGTCCAGTCCATGCTGGTAGACCCTCTCAGTATGACAGGGCCAGTTAAGTAGTGAGCATCTCTGGAGCAAATGGGCAGTCAAGAGGGCGAAGTTGACAGAGGCTGATGCCGAGCTTCCAGGGGAGTTTCTGCTGAGGCCAAATCAAAGTTCTCCTTCTTGACTTGCCTTTGGGAGAATGTTCCGAATAGCCTAAAGGGGACAGCCCAGGTCCTATCCGTGTCTTGATGTTAGTGGTTGCTTTCAAATGTTTGGACTTAAGCGAATCCTCTAAGCCTTGGTACAGACTAAAAAGACCTGTGTGTCAATTCACCCACCTGGGATGCCTGCCCCCTGAGGTTGAGGTCGGTGGTACTCAAGATGCCTTTTTATAACAGCCAGCCTCCCTGAAGCTCTTCCAGGGGCCTGCTTGGGTGGCTCCTCCCAGTCCTTAACCTGGTTAAGCCATGGCTTTGGCCCTTAAATGCCACATACCATATTTATCAGACTAGTGTGAAGAGCCTTGCTCTGGGAATCAGAAGTGAATTTGCAGCCTCTTGCTGTTCCTGTTTTGCTGTGCCTTGGGGACAAATCAGGTCACCTGTCTGGGCCTGCTTTGCTATCATAAGGTAAGGCGATTAGACTGTAGGCCCCTAGCCTAAAGCTCTTTCCATGTGGCCATTCAGTGATTCTGCTATCTAGCCTGTTTCCCTAAATTTCCAAAGGTATTCTATTTCTTTACATCATTTCTTCTTTGCCATGTCTACTAATGGAAAGTCCATGAAGTTGAGAACAGTTCAGCATTCCACCTTGGTGTCTAGTATCTGAGTCTAGACACCAGAAAATCATTTGTTTTTCTCCTTTCCTGAGAAGTGAAAATCATTCTTTGGCTTGAAGTCCATCTTGGCCACTGTTCTGCTGTTCACCTGGGCTGCAGGGCATCGATCTGTCACCACCTGTTATTACCAGCCTTTGAAGCTTTGATTAATTCTCCAGCTATTTACTAATGTAGGAAAAGGGGGAGGAGGGGGAGGGCAGAAGCCCCTGGGCATGGAGCTTCCTATGTAATTCAGAAGGAACTGCCTCCCCAAGGAGGACTTTTCTGCTACAGCACTGATGCCGAACGAAGGAAGGCATCATTCTCCAGAGTATAAGCCTCTACTGGGCAAGCTGGTTCCTCCTTTCGCCCCACCACAACTGCACATTTTTATTAGTCTAGAAATACCTGGTCATAATTTAGGACTGGTGTGTTTTTATAACCTGTGGAAGTTGAACCAACCTTTAAGTCCTTGTCTTAAATTATTGTGTTCCTCAGGTGATGTTTAAATTATTGTGCTCCTCAGGTGATGTTTAAAATCCACTATAAAATCACAATGTTAGTTTTTTAAATAGACATAAGTTCTTGGCTGGCACTATTTTTTTTTAACATGAAGTAAAAAGCACATAAAGAATTAGTTTAAATCAAACATGAATTGCTTTTCCTTCTAACATGTTGACATGTCATATCATTGGTATATATTAAATAATTGTCAAAATCCTACTGGATTGATACTGGATTTTGACTGTTGGTGTCCCTTTTTTCTCTAATTCAAGGTCAGAGCACCAGCATGGGTGGTATGCCTTAGCAAACAACTGTGACCGGTTATAAGAATGTTTTTCTATCTCTCCCATAGAAAAGAAAATTAAATATTTCTGATACGTGTTAACATTAATCAAATTATTTGAAACTTGCCCATAATCATCAGGGCCACACAAAACGCTATTTTAAAATAATTTTCGAATTTGGACTTTGTAAGGATGACCCAAAATTTTAAAATAAACCAGCGACAGTACTTCAGAATTGATATTCATTCATGCTGGGCTTCCTTGATTACCAAACAAGTTGAAAAATGTTTATTTTTTAAAAATATAACTACAATACCATTTTCATATCTGAAAAAAATAACAGTAACTTTTTAAAATCATCAGATATCTAGTCAGCATTTAAAGTTCCCCCATCATCTCATAAATGTTTTTGTACCATTAATTTATTTTAGTAAGGATCTAAATGAGGTTTTACAGTTACTTGACACACTGAATCCATATAGCTATATCTCTGTAATCTCTTGTAATCTATAGGTTCTCCTTCTATTTCTTTGTTGTTGCAAATCATTTGTTGAAGAAACACATTTATTTTTCCTATATCTTTTTCTAGTTCATCGATGTTGTTTAAAATATTCCTCTGACTCCTATATTTCCTATAAATAGAGAGTTGGATCTAGAAGTTGCTCAGCTTCAAGAGGTATTGAGCACTTGAGGAAGCACATAAGGTCTGGTTATTTGTCTTTAGAGGATGGTAGCAGCCATTGGTGATTATTTCAATTAGACTCATTGTTTCATTAGGGAGGGATCACGAAACGGTATTACCCTAATTCTATCACTCATCGTTTATTAGTTTGAATCTTCCTATGAAAAGAAATGTCCCCTCTTCAACTATTTGGTTACCATGAGGTACAGCTAGTATTAGAAAGGCAGAATTAAAAACTAACTCTTTCCTTTTATTTACAAGTTTTCAAAATAATGAGATGGATCCCTAGTATCCGCCAAAGGTAACCAAAGAGTCTTTTTTCTATTATTATACTCTAATGGATTTAAATAGATTTGATGTGTTTCAGTCCATTGTAGACATTGTTCTTATTGAGTCCTTGTGCCATGGTTTCCTTGCTTTCTGGTATGATTAAATATTTTATGCCTATTTGTGCATTTCCTACCCCAAATCTAAATCAGCCATTTCTCCAAGGAGTACTGGTTCCTTTTAGTGGAAAATAGTATTTAGAGAACACAATCTAAGCACCAAGATTTATTGTTAGCTGAATGTTTATTTTTAAATTAATCAGCATTAGAGTTTATGTTTTAAATTCGTTTTGTTGCTGATCAAATTAAAGTTGTATTTCCTATCATTTGGGGAGTCATAGGCTACATTTAAAAACCTAATAAAAGTGAGATGCTCTCCTTCCAGAAATGTTCACCTTTGTTCAGACACAATAATTTAGCCCCAAATTCCAGGAGTTCACAGACCCATCCTGCAACTCTCGCCTGGACTCCAGGGTCCATTAGACTGTCAACTGGAGTCCAAAAAGATGGAAGAGGACTTGGGAGGACTGGAAATGACCAGTTGGTCCCACATAAAAGCGGCAGTGGGAAAGTTAATAGACCTTGCAAGGCCCAGGAGAAGAGAGTTTAGGAATGGCCACGGCCCAAACTCTGTACTGGTCACACCAACAATGGAGATTTAGTTCTATCAAGGAAGGAACATGATGACAAAGGTTCGGTCCTTGGTGAAAGATCACTAGATAGAGTGAGGTCCATTGGAGTGTTGGAAAGAACTTTCTAATAATCAGGGCTGCGGTAATATACGTGATGGGTGATATTCACATGTAGGCACGTATTTTGAAATTCTGTGTGCCTAATTGATACTCCACTTTTTCACTCACTCAAATATTTATTTCCTTACACCAAGTTCCTTGATGTGGATAACACTAAACAAATTTTTTTTTCCTTTCAGTCATTCTCAGATGTAGTCATTGTGATATAATAACAGGAAGGGCCTGAGCTTTCAGAAAGACCTAGATTTAAAACCTTAGTTAATGCTGAGCTACTACCAGCTCTGAGCATCCCTTTCTTTATCTATAAAACAGTCATATCTGGCCCACTTAAAGGTTCTCAGGCTGTGTAATGACCTGATACACAGTAGGTACTCACCAAAAGTTAGTTTCCAT